CATTAATGAGTCCCTTGGCTTGAAATGGGATGCAGGGCCCCGATCGGTATCAGGACCATTGATTGGCACAGGCATCTTCCATTGCCTCACAGAAGAATATCATCTCATATCAAGTTCTCATATCTCATCCGTGTTGCATTGTTTCGCATTCCATTTCATGTCACATGATCTCGATCAACGCGAGAGGTTCTGTGACCTTTGGAGGTCCTGTCCCCGCCCCGGTCTCAGCAAATGCTACCTGGCCCGAGTCGGGGCCACTAGCCGGCACAGGAACGACTGGTCATCGCTGTGAGTCTCTGACCCACACATGGGTCTCTCATTGTTTCAGGGGCCCCTACCAATGCAAATCTCGGGCACCGGCTTGGGAAATGGCCCCCAGGGCTCAGATCAACACTGAGCCGACTGTTTGGTATTGGTGGTGCCCGGCCTACAAAGAGGCCCTCATGGACCTCGGGGAGCCTCGATCGGCGCAAAGGGCCCTCTACCAGGCATTTAAGGGCTCGGCCCTACGTGCCGAGGCCCGTTAATACGACATTCAGCCAGCGCTTCGGGCCTTCAAATCGGGTCATTCATCACCAGTTCTGAGGGGCCTTCACGGGGCGCGGACATAACCACGCTGCTCACACGTGATTATGTTTTCCTGGTCAACAGTTTGACATAAACGTAATTACTCAGGACGTGCACGTAATAGCTTTTTATAAATCGTGACTTGATTCCTTTAAAGGAAGCCGAAGAAGTTCTTTTGCCTTCATTAATGACTATATTTATGAGCGTTGCATGTTTCCACCGTCATTACATGATCTCGGTCACGTAATGCGGCCGAGACATGATCTCGGTCACGGCTCGTCGCATCCAGCAGATGCGTGAAAAGGCGGTAGAAATGGTTATCTGCAAAGAAAGCATAAGGTGCTGTCTGGCAGTCTGCGCTGACCTGTTCTGAACTGAACTGAACTGAACTGAGCTGAACTGAACTGACCTGACCTGACCTGACCTGAACTGAACTTAACTCAAATGAACGAGCGGAACAGGTCTGAGCTGAACGGAGTGGTTTACTCGCTCCTTGGATCTCTACAAACTGCAATCGTGTCCGAGCATAGGTGGTCGCACCCAAAGACGGTCGGCTTTCTTGCTTGCCGATAACACGCCGTCGCTTTCACCGAACGCGCGATTACCGATATAAACATATGTCCATGGTGTACGCTCAGTGCCATTTTTGCATGTGTCGTACGGTCGTTGCGCACATCGTGCTTCGGGAAGGATGTCGCCTAGCCGGGCGCAGAGCCGCTCGGCTCGATCAGCGGAAGCACACAGCCGCGATCGCCCTGTCGCTTCCATCCTGTCGCGACCGCCCGCCCTGGTCACACCCGCGCGGGAGCACTGCCCTGCCGCGACCGCCTGCCCTTGTCACACCCGCGCGGGAGCACCGCCCTGCCGCGACCGCCCTGCCGCGACCGCCCGCCCTGGTCACACCCGCGCGGGGGGACTGCCCTGCCGCGACCGCCCTGCCGCGACCGCCCGCCCTGGTCACACCC